GGCCAGCATTACCCTAATACCAATACTAGATAAAGGCGTTTCAAAGAAGGCAAACTACAGGCTAGCCTCTCTCATGAACATAAAATGCTTAGAGGGCCTCTGACTTTGCTCTTCTTTGATTGTTGGCTATATGGGTATTTTGCCTTTCACCATAATCTTTACAATCAATTTGTCAATATATACAAAAATTCTCAACAGCATATTAGCAAGTTGAATCCAAGAATGTATAAGAATTATTATACACTATGACCAGTTGGGTGTTATTCTAGGTATACAAGTCTTGTTCAGCATTTAAAAATCAAATAGTGTAATCCATCACATCAGACTAAAGAAAAAAAATCACATGATAGTATAATAGATGCAGAAAAATTATTTGACAAATTCAACACCCTTTCGTCATTTTAAAAAATCTCTTAGCAATCTAGGGATACAGGGGAACTTCCTCAACTTGATAAAGAAGAGCTACAAAATGCCTACAGCTAACATCAAGCTTAATGAAAAACTAGATCCTTTTCCTGTAAAGTCAGGAACAAGACAAGGATGTACCCTGTCACCACTTGTCTTCAACATCTTACTGGAAGTCTTAGCTAGCATAGCAAGAGAAGAAAAGGAAATAAAAGGCATATTGATGGGATAAAACTATTTATGTTCTCAAATGACATGATTATCTATGTAGAAAATCCCAAAGAATAAACAACAACAGAACAAACCTGGTACTAATAAGCAAATATAGCAATATTGTAGGATATGAAATTAATATATAAAAGCCAATTGCTTTCCTATATACCAGCCATTAACAGGTGGAATTTGAAATTAAAAACACAGTACCATTTACTTGAGCACATACTAACAGGGAGTGGTTAGGAATAAATCTAACAAAATAGGTACAAAATCTCTGAGGAAAACTATAAAACTCTTATTAAAGGAATCAAAAAAGGCCAGATAAAGGGAGAGATATTTCATCTTCATGTATAGTGCTATGATCTGAATTTGTGTCCACCCAAAATTCATACCTTGAAATCCTAACCCCTAAACTAGTGGGAGTGTTAAGGGTGGGACCCTTGGTAGTTTGATTACATCACGCGGTCAGAGTCTCATGAATGGGATGAGGGCTATCATTAAAGAACCCCTAAGAAGCTTATTTCCCCCCTCTGCCATGTGAGGACACAGGGAAGTTACCATCTGTGAGGAACTGGCCCTCGCCAGATGCCCAGTCTCCTGGCACCCTGGTCTTGGACTTTCCAGCTACCAGAACCCACCCCGTCTGCTTGGCTACGATAGCCCAAGTGGACTAAGACAGATAGGAAGACTCGATGTTGTCAAGAGTTAAGTTCTTCCAAACTTGGCCTGCAGATTAAATGCAATTCCAATAAAAATTCCAGCAAGTTATTTTGTATATATTGACAAGTTGATTGTAAAGATTATGTAGAAAGGCAAAATACCCAGAATAGCCAACATAGTATTGAAGAAGAGCACAGTCAGAGGACTGATATTACCCGACTTTAAGACTTATTATTTGGGCACCCACCCTCCTTGGATACCCTCCCACTCTGGGAGCTTTTTTGTCCTCTCAATAAATTCTGCTTTCCCAAAAAAAAAAAAAAAAAAAATAGACTCTTCTCATAGGTGAATGAATAATCAAACTGTGGCACATCATTACAATGGAATATTATTCAGTGATAAAAAGAAATGTGCTATCAAGCCACAAAAAAAACATGGAGGAACCTTAAATGAATATTGCTAGGTGAAAGAAGCCATCCTGAAAAGGCTACATACTGTATGATTCCAAAACTCTATGATATTCTGGAAAAAGCAAAACTATAGAGACAGTAGAAAGCTCAGTGGTTACCAAGGATTGGGGACAGGGGAGGAAGGATGAATTAGAAGAGCACAGAAGATTTTTAGGACAGTGAAAATGCTCTATATGATACTGTAATAATGGGTACATGACATTATGCATTTGTCAAAACCCATAGAATGTACGACCCAATGAGTGCGCCCTAAAGTAAACTATGGACTTTAGATAATAATAACGTGTCCGTATTGGTTCCTCCATGATTACAAATGCACCACCTTAATGCCAGCTGTGAATAACAAGGGATGTATATGTGGGGAGGGAGGAGTATATGGGGAACTCTCTGTACTTTCTGCTGGATTTTCTGGAAACCTAAAATTACTTTTAAAAAACTATTTATTAAAAAAAAAAAGAAGCCTCTTCTTCTCCTGACCTTCCCCCAGGACTCTTCCCCTTTCCTCAGAGGTAACAACAGGATTTGCTCACTGTGTTTTTATTATCAGCAGAATGGCCCTCCCGTAGCAGCTGCCCTTCTCCATCCTTCATCCTCACAAAACACTGCAGCTCCTGCAGCCCAAGTGCAATGTACCGTGGCTCTCTCTGCCCCTACACATGTCTGGTGTGGTGAGAACAGGGGTGTCTGTTCTGGGCTGTCCCTCCTGAGAGGTCTGTCTGTCCTGAGGTGTCTGTCCTGGAGGGTCTGTCCTGGGGTATTCAGAGTAGGGGGGATATCTGTCCTGGGATGGTCTATCCTGGAGGATCTGTTTTGGGGTGTTTGTCCTTGGGGGGAATATCTGTCCTGGAGTGTCAGACCCGGGATGTCTGTCCTGGGGGAAGGGAGCCCATCTTGGAGAAGTCTGTCCATCTGTAGCTAAGTAACCAGGGCTTCCAGGTGGGTTGTTAAGGTCCTTTCAGCCTTTGTTGTGAGGAACCCTGCACTAGAGGAAACTTCTAGAATAAATGTATTTCTTTATTATAGATATAGGTGAAACACACTCAGACCCTGTCCTGTGTCCACGTCCCATATCCTTGTCCTATTTCCATGTCCATATCCTCAGTGTACCAGGGAGGGCCACACCACATCGTATGCCTTGTCCCTTGTCTGTGTCCTTGCCCCACATCCATGTCCTGTGACTGTGCCCCTTTTTCGTGTCTCATGTCTGTGTCCCATGTCCCTGTCCTGTGTCTGTACTCTTTCTCCATGTCCTGTCTTCATGTCTTGTGTTTGTGTCCTGTGCCCGTGCCCTTTTTTCATGTCTCATGCCTGCACCCCTTCTCTGTGTCCTCAGAGCAGAGCCTTCTCACAGTTCACAGTTGTGCCTCCTTTCTGTCATCTGGCCCAGCATCTGGCCCAGGTCCCACAGTGCTCAGCGGATGTCCCTGTAAGGGGCAGACTGGGGCCACGGAGAGACATGTGAGCTATGCCTCTGTGGGGCTTGATGGCCAGGAGGGGGCTGAAGAAGGCTGTGGGTGGGCAGGAAGAGGTGCGTGGCATGGATGCTGACTTCATACTGGGCGCTCAGTGCACCTGTGTGGTGGTTTGCACTGGGACAGGTCTGCTCCCTCCATCCCGTGGAGGGTTTGGTTGTCCCCTGCCTGCTCTCGGGTCGGGAAGTGCCTGTGGCAGGCCAGGTGTGCTGATGGCCTTGTCAGACACTCACTCTCACGGCAACCACCCCAGTCTGGCAGCTTTGCAGGAGTGACTTGTGATAAATGCTATTCTGTAGAGATGGATGGGTGGTTTACAGTAAGTGCTTCCTGTGATTAAATGCACTTCTACACCATTTCCAGCTGCAAATGGGTATTGTTCACTGGTGGTCACTTGTTTACTTAAGCTGTGCTTGAATCTGCCTGGTCCTGTGCTCACCTGCCCCAGGACACCTGCTCCAGATATGTTAATGAGGTTTGTGTCCTGTTTCCCTGAATGAGGAAAACCTGTGGTTGTCGAGCAGTGATGATGATGCTGGGGGAACCACTGGGTGGGCACTTCAGAACCAAATGTGCATAAGTCAACTCAGGATGCATCTTCGTGACTGGGGAAGAGATCGGAAGAGATATGGGTACAGTTACGTGCAGCTCTGAACTGGGAAGCACTCTGTTTCACACTCTGTCCGTGATGTTCCCTAAGTCGCCAAAATTTCCCATGCTCTGTCTCCTGCCAGCGAGGCCCTACGCCCAGGGCTGGGCCCCAGATCACAGAGAAGCGGGGCTGGTACACTTCAGCCATTGTCACCAGCACTTGATGCTTGCCTGGGGTTTGTGCTCCACTCAGGTGATGAGACCAGCACTCACCTCACAGTGCCACAGCCCTCAGGTTGCTCCTGCTGCCCTTTCAGCGTCAGCGGGGTGGATGGTACCCCAGAAACTGCAGGCTCGAGCAGCTCATGAGACACCACTCACCATTTGTTTGAAGCTGGTCTCCAAGAATCTTCTTGACACCCAGGAGCATCACCTCAATGGACCGAGAGCTCCTCACATGGTCTCTTGCAAGCAGGCCAGCAGCCGTCTACCTGCTAGGCCCAGCAAGAGTTTGCGGGGCGTATCCATGCGATCCTTGACCGCTCCACTGTGGGTATGGGGTTATCTGTTCAGAAAAAGAAAGGACCCAGGCCTGGATGTGAATGATGCAACACCAACCCTGCCCACAGGGTTGTAGTCCAGGGAGGGGCAAGCCTGTGTTCCTGGGCCTGAGTGGTGCCCATGGGGTCTCCAAGAGAAGCTGGGCAGCAGCTGGCAAAGCCTGTCCGGGAAGCTTCCTACCCCATGCTCCCTTTCTCTCTCACATAAATGCTTCCCTGGAATATGAGTGATGTTGGCTGGGCTTGAGGAGGAAATCGATGTTATTAAATAAATTCATGTGAAGGTCTGAATGAATGGTAATTCCACGGCCCTCTTAAATATATTCACGTTTTAGAAGAGGATGCCAATTAGCCCCTGTAAATCTGCAGGCTGGGAGCTCTTAGGGGATAATGAAGTGGAGTGTCAAGTTCCAGATCGTGGAAGGGGAATTTATGAGCCACAGACATGGGAGCAGCTGGCCTGCCTGGGGTCTGCTGAGGGTCGGCCCTCTCCCCTGGGCCTCCTCTTGGGAGCCTCCCTTGCTCCCTCGGCCTGCACAGTTGGGACATGGACCCCAAACAGTGCCTGGCAGGTTGGATGGGGCACAGCAATGAAGTTTTCACCTCCTTCTTCTGGTCTTTTCCAGCTAAGAAGTATAAGAAAGTCACTGGCAAGGAGATCTACTCAGACACCTTAGAGAGCACACCCATGCTAGAGAAAGAGAAGTTTCCACAGGACTATTTCCCCGAGGTACGTATTGTGGCTTTCTCACTAATGCATTTACTTCTCAGAGTGATCAGGTCAGAGGGCACAGAATTTTCATATTGCATCTTTGGTGGTCACAGCCTACCTGTTGTCAGGCCCCAGTATTCTGTCTTTCTGGGACGTTCCGTATTCCTGTGTGCTGATCTGGACTGTTGGAGGTAAGGCCGTGAGAATCTGAAGTATCAGCATTATATCAGTCAGCAAATTCTCTAATCCTCATTTCCAGACAAAACAGCCTTCCACAGAATACACAGAAAAATACCATTTAACTCGGTGAGCACCAGAGGGGTATCCCTGTACACTTAGGTGGGAGAGGGTTGGTCTGGTGAGTCATAACCAAGACAGTGGCTGATAGTCATTGCATGCCCAGGTATGGGGGTTGTGCCACATGGTGGCGTCTCTTGCATCCCCCCGGGTACACAGGGCAGGAGCATGATCTTGCTTCACAGATAAGGCCTGGGGGTTGTACCAGCCTGAGAGCAGTTCAGCAGCACCCATGGAGCTGGTGCGTGGTCCAGGCTTATGGCTCAGCCATGTGTCCCAGCAGTTGTACTGCTTCATACAGAGAGTTTAGAAATAAAAAAATAAAAAAGTCGGGTTGCATTCCTTGTTCAACTTATTTCTCAGCGATGCTTTGTGGAGTCTTGGTGCTCTTACCTCTTCTTTCCTGTCACTCCTTGTCCTCTGGAAGCCAGAGGCCTCGACGCCTGTGATCATGCTCCTCGCTATTCCATACAGAAAGGGCAGAATGGGCAGACTGTGCATCAGAACCTGACCTGATAATGTGTCAAGTTCTCATAACCCGGTACTATCATTTGCTGGCTTTGAGAACTTGACACATTATTTGACCAGGGCCTGATGCAGGATCTTGAGATCAGCTGCATCAGAGTCATCTGAGGTCTAAGTTCAAATGCAGCTCTCTGAGCCCCATTCCAGACTCACAAACTAAGAATCTCAGGAATCTGTGTCTTAGGACAAAAAGTAATACCCAATGACACTTTGGCACTAACAGCGTGATCTGTAGCAAGAGAGATGAGCAGTTGGTTCCACCTAGTGAGAGTTCAAGGAGACTCCAGGGAGCCAAGATGGTGGGAAGGAAACTACAAAGAAAGACTTACTGTATATTATTGAGGGCATGAAAGTTGAACTAAGCACAGTGACTGTGTAAACCACAAAGCCACCCAGAATACCACTTAAGAGTTTGGAGGCTACATGGCAGTCTTTGAAGAGCTATGAAGCATGCCCCAAAGAAGATGTAAATTTATTGCAGTTTGCATGTTCTTTGAAACTAATTTTTGAAATTCCAAGATGAACCCCTGTGTTCTGAGCCGCAGCTACTGTTGCAGATTCTCTCCCTTTTGAGAAACAGGTAACCAAGTCGGAGCTGCTCAGGCACGTCTTGACAGCACGAGGACGATTCCAGGGCACTGAAGGATGCAGAGAGACCTAAAATTAGTTTCGGTAGCATAATATCAGACATGAAAGTTGCCAGATCTGCCACCATTAGAGTCTATACAAGACCAGAGCATCAGATCCCGTCTGACAAAGGATCTGATGGTAGTCCTGGTCAGGAGAAGACTGCCAATCTTAGAAAAAGTTTCCGGAAAATATGTTCAAAGGGAACAGACTTAATATTGTTGACATGAAGGCAGTTACTGAAGAAGCACCTGAAACAGACTCATCACCTTCACTTTGGGATATGGAATTTGCTAAGCAGTTGGCCACAGTAAATGAATGACCCTTTCAGAATGGGCTTGAAGAGATGGTTCAGTGGACAAAAGAGGGAGAAACTGTGGGAGTTCCCAACTGACAATGAAGCAGGTTTTGATGATAATGGTGCATAATTTCATGAACACATAATCCTGGAGTATTTTCCAAAACAAGGACCAATTCACCACTTCATGGAGCTGCTGACTTGTGACCTTTCCAAAAATCCTTATCTGTGTGTTAAACAGAAGGTGGAGCACATCAAGTGACTTAGAAATTATTTTAATGAAAAAAAAGGACATTCTAAAAGAAAATAGCATCCAGTTTAATTAAGACCATGAAAATTTCTATTTCAAGCTAATCAAGATGGATATTATAACCCAATAAAATACTTTTACTAGGAAAAAAACCAGGGATTATGTATCATCCCACTGCCCAGACAATTAATTATAAAATATTGGTATATTTCCTTTGGATTTTAGTGCATTTTTGTTTAGTTTTATGTGTGTGTTTATGCGGTGAGTACATTGCACATGTAATTTTGGATTGTATTATTTTTTAGTAAACCTTACATTCACATTTTTAGTCTCTCAAGCCTGTATAATTAACACGTCAGTGCAGAGTTTATTTCCTTGCTCTTTTGTCATCTACTAAATCATAGTAGGGTGTGGACACCCTGACCGGAAGCATTTCAGTAGCTGAAATTGGAAAACTGACGGCTGTCCATGGGTTTGGATGTGTCCCAACCTTGCGGTGATAGAGGAGGACGCGTCCAGGACTTGTCTGCTCAGCCCCAAGAAAGATTGCTCTGCGATCTTGTCTCCACGTGGGCTTCTCTGCAGGGAAGGCGGCTGGCCTGCACGCAGAGCTGATTTCAGCAAGGCCACAACTTTATTAACTTGCTTTATGACCCACTCCTTGAGTGAAGGGATTGTGGCCGCCTTTATGAAGGATGGGGCGCTCTTGTCACCCTGTGGCCCAGCTTTCTCATCCATTGTCCTCAGGCCAAGGACATGATGTCAGCAGGCCGGTCCCTGGCCCCAGCCCTGCTCCTGGGCATCTCTCCGTCGCCCCCCTCTGCTCTATGAATTCTGTAGTTGGAGGAGGATGTGCAGGAGTGCTCTGGGACTTTCTCTGTGCACAGTGTGTCTATGTTGGGATGGTATCGCCTGAGCTGCTGCCCGTGGTGGTGTGCCCGTCAGGAGGGCTGGGGTCGGGGTGGATCGCTACGGTTCCCTTACAGATGCTGTGGGCTGAGTTCTGGGCCTTTGTTCAACCCAGGCTGGGGCTCTCATCTCAGAGTGACCAGCGACAGTCTCAGGGCCCCTCGTGAGAAGGGAGGGTGCTGGGGAGAGGCAGGGGTTGGGGCAGGGGCTGCAGCAGCACCGCAGGCTTGAGGTCTCACCTCTGCCCAGATGCTAACACCCTCATAGCAGGACGAGGGCAGCTGACGACGGCCCTGAATAGATCCAAGGAAGGGGTCTGCTGGCCTGATGTCTTACATCAGTGGATCCACGCTGCCATCCAGGGCTACAGCCATCCTTACCCCACCCCTCAGCCTCTGTGGCCTCTGGGGATGCAGGGACCCAGGTCCTCAGAGTTCCTCCCTATGAGCACTCTGGGCCTCTGACCCGGACTTTGTTTTGGCTTAGGGTACTGCTGGCTGTGCAGTGATGGCACTGGAGACCTGGGTCCTCCTCAGCTGTTCCCTCGCCTGGTGTCCCCTTGCATGCCATGTACTATCCTTCCTAGATAGGATGGAAGAGCCCAAAGCATGCGCTGCACCCCACTGCACCTTCTTGGGAGTGGGCTGAGGCATGTCCTGAGGGACCAGAGGTGGCAAGGGTCAGTTGAGGTGGGTGGGCCCTCAGCAAAGAACAGATATGCAGAGCAACTTGGGCCAGGGATATAGTGGGTGCTGGGCACTCCAGAGTGGGTTGGGGCTGGGTGTGACACTGTCAGGCTGGCCACCTCAAGGGTGAGTGCTGGGGACCGGGAGGCAGGACAGGACTGAAGGTGGACAGCAGGTGCTCTGTGGTTTCCAGAAGCCCATTGGTGATAGGGGAGGGTAAACTGGGCACAGGGTCTGTTTGAGGCGCAGTCCCCCATCCCTGTAGCAATCCACTTGTCTTTGTTCACAACTTTCTCCTGTAGATACTATAAAAGTATGAACTATCTCAAACATTGAAGGAGTATAGAGGGTGAGCCGCAGGTGACCTGTGCCCAGCACAGGTCCCCTCGTGCTCAGTGGGGCCCTTCCTGAGGTGATGACTGTCCTCTGCCCCAGCTTTGAGTTTGCGTCTCCACAGTGACCAATGAGCCCAGAACCCTGTGCTGTGCTTTGAATCCCCACAGGTGTCACTGCATGGGCCAGTCTGGCTAGTGTCCCAGGCCACTGTCCACATGGCTTGCCTTGGGCTCCGTGTCCAGTCACTCTACTGAAATGTCAGCCTGAGGGCCCCCAGCAGGCAACATTCGCCCTCAGACACATGCACTGCCTCCCGGCAGCCCTGATCTTCACTTCACTTGTGGGGATTCCGGAATTTGGGGTGAGCAGATCTCTCTGCATCCTTGTCCTCAACTGGAGGCAGGGGCTTGCCAGAGGTTGGCCACACAGCTCCTGTCCCTGGCCTCTGAGGACCTGCAGGCGTGGCTCAGAAGACCGTCACGTGACCTTCTGAGGGGGCGGGAGAAAGACTGAATGAGACTGCGGCAGTGGGCACCCTTGCGGGCAACACTGGGAGGGGCCGGGTGTCCTTGAGGTTCTTCCTGGGCAGCCCCATGCTCCTGGGTCCTCCGCCTCTCAGCCCCGCCTTGTGGCAGCCCAGGGGCTCTGACCAGTGGCCTCCTCCCTAGGGCCTCTTTGCTCCCACCCACACTTCGACCTCCACTCTAGGCCAGCAGCATGGCCAGCCTTCGGCTCGCTTCCCCTCGCTGGCCCCAGCAAGTGGGCAGCTGAGGCCAAGGCCGGGCTGAAGCTAGGCAAGCTCTGGGGGTCTCTGCTGTCTTTGCCGCCCCTTGAAGGGAGGTGGCCCTCTGCATGGGTCTGGAGCATGACCTCTGGTAGCCAGTATTCTGTCCCTCTGCAATGCTAGAGGAGTGCTGGCACGGTTTTGAGGGCCAGAATCACGAGGGGCTGTCTTCCTCCCAAGGACAAGCAGCCTCAGCCTCTCAGCCTGAGTGTGTAAAAGGATCCGAAGCCCTCAGCCCAGGTCCAGGCCTTTCCTGCACCCAGTGGGCCTGTCTCCAGGTGGCCACAGTGTTGTGGCCACAGTGTT